TCATCCCGGACATACATACAAACTCCGGCACGCCGTACAAAATTATGCTCGAATTTGTAACCGGGGTAGTGTAAGTAGGATGTGTCGGCCGGGCTGGATATTTGTGTCTCCGTAAGGAATAACAGGGCCGGCTGCGCAGATTCCAGATGCTGATGGACTGCGTTGATGTTGGAATGAAGTCCTCTGATGTTGCAAAAGTCCACTTTAAATGTGGAAGAGGATGCCGCTGAGTATCTCTTATTCCTTTTTGTTCTGGCCATAATTATAAGAAAAGTGTGAAAGGTAGAAAGAAATCACTAAGCCATCAACATAAGAGACAATTGTGCTATTACTTCGCAAGAGAGTAAGACAAGTTATGTGGAAAGCTGGCACGGCGGGCGGAAGGGCCCCCGGTCCACACCTGTTACAGCAGTCGGGTCCACTCCGGTCTCCTCCTCCGGCACGACTACTGCTTCAGGGACTTTACACAAACTGGCGGTTCAGCCTCCCAGGGCGGAGATTACGTGATCCCTGGGTTCGGGAACCCGTTCAGCTTGCGGGCGGCCAGCGGTCAGCCGTTTCACCGGGTCTCCCTGACCGCCGTGCCAATACGCCACGCTTGTTCCACTCAAAAGCGATTTGAGATTTCACGGGTCTCTCTGTTGACGGCTCAGCATCTCCTTTGAAGAGCTCTGGTAACCAGGCTCACCTGCAGGAACACATCACGAGGTGATATTTGGCTGCAGACTTCTGCCAGGTGGAGGTATTTCGCCAGTCGGGCAGCTCAGTTTGGAGTAGTACTCAGCCCTACCTCTCTTCCAAGTGTCACTCGTTTGGCACCACCCAGGGGTCACGTGTAGGGTCTCTAGGGTAAACCTACGGACGCGAGTGACTTCAACCCCCCGAGTTCTATTCGTTTCCGCCAAAAATATTTCGTGTACGTGTTTCTAACAGTACAGTAAAAATTTCAGCTCGCCGCTCAACCACAGCTAATAGAAAGCTGAGCCTCGATTTCAGCTGTGGCAGTTCGGACATTGGCCAAACAAAGCGCAAAGTAACATGCCGAATGAGAACACATAAAAGCAATCAAGAACAACGATACGCAGAAATGTACCATCGCCGAACATTTGATTGATTCTGGTCTTAACCACTGGATTGAGTTCCATAACCTACAGATTATCTCGACAGAACGCCACTACATATCAAGATTGATCAAGGAAGCGATTGAGCTAACAAAACATAAAAATTTCAATCGTGAGGACGGGTTTAAATTGTCGTGTGTCTGGAATTCTGTGATTTGTATGTGAAAAATCCGGAATAATAAAAAAAAGTGTCGATCGGATACTGTGAGTGTTGTGTGTCGAGAACAATTTCGAGTGAATAGTGAGAATGTGAACAGTGGTACGGGTATCGAACGCAATTCAAGACTTCGTCGGAGGGTAGACCGATATATCTGCCAATAACAGCCTACCCGTAATTACATCAGTATCTCCGTGATCATGGCAAAGGTTCCTAAATCATTTATGGGTCAAGGTATACATTTCTATAATAAGATTCCTAATGATATCCTTGATTTGCCTCCTCATAAATTTAAATACACATTAAGAAATGCTTACTTAAGAAAGGATATTATACTGTCAATCAATATATGAATGAGAACACGGCTTGGTTGTAATTTTACCTGTAGATAATTTTTCATAAGTTATATTAAAACTAAGGCTCCCAGCCTTAGAAAGAGTTTTGAAGAGAACCTTGCACTTCATATACTTGTTCATTTTGTTTTGAAAATTGTTTCTTGCTATTTTGGGACTTTTCTTTGCACTTATTGTTAGTAAATTCGTTGATTGTCTATTGTTACATATTTGACATTATGTGATGGAAGTTGACCTCAACACATGTTTGCAAGTCAACTTTCAATTGGACGACACTGTATGAAATAATACAGGGAGAAAAAATCAGCCCTTGCTGAGTTTCTTGCTGGTTCTTCTCAGTACAAGGTCTCCCGCCGTAGATTTGCGAACCGATGGCATAGCTTTTCGACATTCACAAGTGCTTTTAACAGCCTAGACTGAATAAACGATTATGCTTTTTTTTAAATTTTGAATTTTGTAAAACTAGTGGTTCGTTGTGAAAAAATGTTTTTGTGTTGGATAGTAGTTCATTTATCGGGGAAGGCACGCTTTATATCACGCTATGGCCAGTAGGAGCGGAGCATCGATGAAAAATGTTGCAATATGTTCCATTTCTGAGTTTCCTTTTTTTCTTTTTATATATTTTATTGTTTGGGTTAAATTATCGAAGTTTTCATTCGCAACCCTAACCTTTTTTGAAATACTCTATGGCCTTTATTTATCAGGGATAATGTAAAATGTGATATGTCAAAATATTTTTTCAAATCGGTCCAGTAGTTTCAGAGCCTATTCAACACAAAGACGACGACGACCTCCGTGGCCGAGTGGTTTGTACGCCGGGTTTCATGGTGTCGAAAAATCCGGAATAATAAAAAAAGTGTCGATCCGATACTGTGAGTGTTGTGTGTCGAGAACAATTTCGAGTGAATAGTGAGAATGTGAACAGTGGTACGGGTATCGAACGCAATTCAAGACTTCGTCGGAGGGTAGACCGATATATCTGCCATTAACAGCCTACCCGTAATTACTTCAGTTTCTCCGTGATCATGGCGCTTGCAACAGTGCCGAAATATCGGGAACTCGCTATAAACAAGGTATATGATAACAAATCCGTAAATAACATAAATTACTGTAATTTATTAATAATAAAACATTCAGGGCTATTAAATTAAAAATCTTACTAATACATTTATGGATGTATGTGTAGATGTTTCTTAATCTTCCACGCTAAAACGGTTGAACAGATTTGAATGGAATTTGCCATATAAGTATATTCCTAGTTTATCTCCTAGATTAAGACTTAAGATACTATTAATTCTGTGGCATTCTCAAAAAACTAAATTTAATGCAAAGTCTTATAAAAGCTAAGCTAGTAGTGCTATAAAATTACTCATCAAGATAATGCACTAACTTTACTTAAGATAAGAGTGCGAAGACCCGGTCAACACACGACACGCTATACCAAGTACAGATACACTTGTTTTTGGTGTATCTTGTTTTTATCTTATTACAAGTAGGTTTTTTCAATACATGAAATCACGCAATTAAAATTTTTATTTAGAAGTTCGTGAACTTTGATATTGTTTTAGAATTCTTATAAAAAATATTTGTCATAGTTACAAAATGAAAACAATAATAAGAAGAGAATTATAATCTTCAGGGAATAATACTCTGTATACTAATATGGCTTAAGAGCTAATAAGTCAAAACGCTTTTCTTTCATTTATTTCCGCACTAAATTACGAAAGACTAGTGGCCTGCCTTCGCTTCGCTTCGGTGTTGAGATGTAGTGTAGACTACAGTGTTTGTTCTCAGGCTTCGCGGAATATCTTAGGTTTCTGAGTGATTTTCATAGAAGTAAAGCTAACGCGACCGAAGAAAGTCGCGGGCGATCGCTAGTCTCAAATAATACAATACACAAAGACATTCTTTATATAATTAAAATCACTCCATGAAAACTTATTTAACTAAGAGTTTATTTTTTTTGCGTTGTTTAGGAGCTCCGTTTTTCATTACTTTTGTTACCTGTAGTTATACCAAATTACGGGTAACAAAAGGTTCCTAAATCATTTATGGGTCAAGGTATACATTTCTATAATAAGATTCCTAATGATATCCTTGATTTGCCTCCTCATAAATTTAAAATACACATTAAGAAATGCTTACTTAAGAAAGGATATTATACTGTCAATCAATATTTGAATGAGAACACGGCTTGGTTGTAATTTTACCTGTAGATAATTTTTCATAAGTTATATTAAAACTAAGGCTCCCAGCCTTAGAAAGAGTTTTGAAGAGAACCTTGCACTTCATATACTTGTTCATTTTGTTTTGAAAATTGTTTCTTGCTATTTTGGGACTTTTCTTTGCACTTATTATTAGTAAATTCGTTGATTGTCTATTGTTACATATTTGACATTATGTGATGGAAGTTGACCTCAACACATGTTTGCAAGTTTGATGTCAACTTTCAATTGGACGACACTGTATGAAATAATACAGGGAGAAAAAATCAGCCCTTGCTGAGTTTCTTGCCGGTTCTTCTCAGTACAAGGTCTCCCGCCGTAGATTTGCGAACCGATGGCATAGCTTTTCGACATTCACAAGTGCTTTTAACAGCCTAGACTGAATAAACGATATTGATTTTTTTTTTAATTTTGATTTTTGTAAAACTAGTGGTTCGTTGTGAAAAAATATTTTTGTGTTGGATAGTTCATTTATCGGGGAAGGCACGCTTTATATCACGCTATGGCCAGTAGGAGCGGAGCATCGATGAAAAATGTTGCAATATGTTCCATTTCTGAGCTTCCTTTTTTTCTTTTTATATATTTTATTGTTTGGGTTAAATTATCGAAGTTTTCATTCGCAACCCTAACTTTTTTGAAATACTCTATAGCCTTTGTTTATCAGGGATAATGTAAAATGTGATATGTCAAAATATTTTTTCTAATAGGTCCAGTAGTTTCAGAGTCTATTCAACACAAAGATGACGACGACCTCCGTGGCCGAGTGGTTTGTACGCCGGGTTTCATGGTGTCGCCGACTCGAGAGGTCCCGGGTTCGAATCCCGGTGGGGGCAGATGTTTGTGTGATGCATACGAGCATTTGTACTCCATTCATGGATGTTTAATATGTATTTCTATATAAATATACTTATATATGTACAGTATATGTATTCTATCCGTTACCCTAGCATCCCATAACACAAGCCTTACAGTGCTTACTTTGGGGCTAGGCTAATTGGTGTTTAAAAAAAAAACAAACAAACAAACAATCACATCTTTCCTCTTTATAATATTAATATAGAAGTATAGATATAATTAAAAACGGAAACGAAATAAGATGTTTTGCATTTCGAAAAATAAACTTTAAAAATAAAAAAAATGTTACCTTTCATCGGGAAATGCTGTGTATACCTCCTCTAAGTCGTACATCAAATGTCTCTTAAGGCATGTGCTCTTGTATGCGTTCCCGAAAACGGGAATACCCGGGAGAAACTTCACATCCCTCTCCTTGAAATGATTGTGTATCTTCTTGTAAACATACCAGTAGTATGCTAAAATAGAAGTTAAAGCAAATATAAGTATTTCGGTCAACATGGCTGGCCGGCTTGCGGTGCACTGTGCCGGCAAGCTGGGTGCGTGAGTCAATCGCAACTAGTGATGGGACTAGAGTCAAAATAAAATGTTGCTGTCGATAAAACAATTATAATATGTAAAAGGCGATTTTATTTTTAACTAGCGGCCGCCCGCGACTTCGTCCGCGTTAACTTTTAGTTTTTTTACTAAAATAAAATTAGTTTTCTTATAAAAGTAGCCTAAGTTACTCCTAATTACATCAGCTACTTGCCAATAAAAGTCCCGTCAAAATCGGTACAGCGATTTTAGAGATTAGCCGGGACAAACAGACAGACACACATAATTTAAAAAAAATATATATTTTGGTGTATATATAGGTATATCCATATGCATGTATTAAAAACGGTTATTTCAATATTACAAACAGACGCTCCAATTTTATTTATATGTTTAGATGTATAGATAAATGAAAATTACGGATTATGATTTCGTGGAGATTTGATGTCAACTGTTTGCGTTTTAACTAACTCCTAAAAGGAGAAAGGTTCTTACTTGGTAAGTTGTTATCAACCGAATTTGATCATGGTTTTTGTTGGTATTATTTATTTTGCATGATAATAAGTACACGAAATTGGAAAATCGCCGATTTACTAATTTCCCGTATCATTGAAATAATACTGGAAAATAAATAATAGGATTACTCAATTATAAACAGTTGTCATTTGGCTTGGTTATTTTAAAAACTCTAAAGAGCAAATGCTGCCTAATACAGATAGCTTTCTGACTTATAACAAGCTAAAAATAAAAACCCATTTTAACAAAAATTCACAACTCCTCCATAAGAATAAGACGATTAAAAATAAGGAAATAATGCTTAAATAAAACTAGTTTTTACGGGTTAATGCACGAAACTTTTATTTATTTATTGACGTTTCGTAGCCTTTACAGGCTACGTCGTCAGAATTAAACTTTTATTTTCGTGCATTAACCCGTAAAAACTGGTTTTATTTAATGAGTGATGTGCGTGAAAACCTAAGAAAGAAATAATACTTGTTTATAACTCTACTACCTAATTTAGTCGATGTCACAATTACAAATATTTCCATCAAAATGGCCTGAGTTGCCCTTTACTAGCTGAAACTTGTTTATGATAAATAATCAATTTAAGTATTTACATAGAATTGATAATTACCAAGAATACTTAAATCAAATATAGGAGAGAATATGCCAGATTCTCTTGGTATTTTCTTATAATTTTTATAGGTATTTAAAAAATACTTTTATTCGGGTCTCTATTGACGATCTCCGTAGCCGACTGGTTTGTACGCCGGGTTTCAACGTGTCGCCTACTAGAGGTCCCGGCTTCCCGGTGGGGGCAGATGTTTGTGTGATGAATACGAGCATTTGTACTCTAGTCATGGATGTTTAATATGTATTTCAATATAAATATATTTATATATTTATTCGTATATGTATTATATCGTTATGCTACTATGTCATTACATAAGCCTTCAGTGCTAACATTGGGGCTAGGCTAATTGGTGTTAGTTAAAAAAAATCTACTCTCATGTATTATTCCCCATGTTGGGGATTTTTTTTCTGAACCCGGTATTATCGATACAAATATTGCCCATCCCATATTTATACAATAACAAAGTAGACTGTACATATACGTTGAACACCAATTCTAGTGATATCATAGACCATTTTATAGGTATAACTGCGGTACCACCAAATTGTTTTGGACTCAATACATTAAGATTTTAAGAGTGAGATTGCTTAGTTAGACTTTTTGAGAACTAGCTGAAGCCTATATTTGTATGCGCTGTGGAGAATTCCGAACCTGTTTCTGAGTAAGCAGCCCACGTTTTCAAGGTCAAGGACCCTTGTGTTGTTGTTTTCAGTTTTTATACAACTGCAAATGGCATAATAATTACCTACAGTTAAAAAAATACAAGACTGTTGTGTAATTTCACGTAAGATCTTGACTAAAAATATGGCAAAATTAGATAAGTGCGTATCGGAACTAGCACAAGAAAGGTTCCTTACCATTGTACCAGATTATAACTTTTGAAATACAACAACTTTTGAGGTTAAATAAAAGTTACCAAAAAATCACGTGTTTTGTATAGAAGACTTGTTGAAGATTTTATAGTAAGTTATTTTTTTATCGCACTTACGTTCGAAATCCGAAATTGAAATTGGACGAGTATGTATAGCAAAGATACATTTTGAAAATCTCATAATAGTCATCAGAAAAACACTCTACAATAAACATAATTTTCACATTTAATAAACAATTTGTACTAATATTAAAGAGGAAAGATTTGTTTGTTGGTTTGTATTGAATAGGCTCCAAAACTTCTATTGACCGATTTTAAAATTGAAAATTCTTTCACATTTAGAATCTTACATTATCCTTGATGAGCATAGACTATAGAATATCTTCAAAAAAGTTAGAGTTCCGTATGAAAACTTCGATAATGTAACCCTATATGTGAAAAAAGTACCAAAAAACAACCTTATAACGCGTACGCTGCTGAAGTAATTGACAATAGAGCAAAGTGATGTACTAAAGTTTTATAAAAGACATCAAAATCTACAAAAAAGTACGCGATATCATATATCTAACTATTACAGTTATGTCATAACTAGAGGTCCCCTGCGGTTTCACCCGCGTTTATTTAAAGAAAAGGTTATAGTGAGTCAAACTTAAAGATAAATATATGCTGTCGTAGACTCTTTTATAGAGCTTTTAAAGGGGAACAATTACGTCATACATGATTTTTGTGTAACTCTAACCGTTTACCTAGCGAATGCAACGGAAGGTCACAAACGAACTTATTTTACCCGTTTTTGCAACGTTTTTGCAACATTTTTCATCGACTATGTTATATAGCCAGCCTTTTTTGATAAATCTATCTAACACAAAAATAATTTTTCAAATCGGACCAATATTTTCTAGGATTAGCGCGCTTAACCAAAAAAAAAACATACAACCATACTGTCCAGTTTTATCATATTAATAAGTATATCTATTAATACTTCTTGTTAAAATATGCAATAGTAACGCCGGCGCGTACAAACTAGGACACATTATTCGTACCCGGGTATCAATTCTTATCCAAATAAATCACTTCTTAATCAAGACTATGTATATCAGGCGTACCTGATATAGTTTTGAATAAAATTTTTGAAATTATTTTTTGTATTGGACCTTTTCCAAGTTTCATACCATTCTAAAGTTATCACGAGTGCAATAATTACACTTCTTCTTGTTGAAATATGCAATAGTAACGCCGGCGCGTACAAACTAGGACACAGTATTCGTACCCGGGTATTAATTCTTATCCAAATAAATCACTTCTTTATCAAGACTATATATATCAGGCAGGTATAGTTAGTTAGTTACCTGATATAGTTTTGAATGAAATTTTTGAATTTACTTTATGTATTAGACAATGGTCTAATACATAAATTTGGGAATGCCCAAATTTAACCCTATAGTAAGAAATTGGGTGACTCATTTTTTTGTCGCACTATTCGTAAATGGAATGCTCTGCCCGCCTTCTTACAACCTGGGATCCTTTAAAAGAGGTGGTAAGAAGCAACATGGCCGGCAAGGTGAGGATGGCTGGAGTGGCAGGTACATCTGCTGTACCAGCTATCTTCACGTCTGGACTTCACCGTTATTTAACATCAAGTGGGACGGGGTCATTTGTCGGACCAATCTAAAAAAAAACTGTAAGGCTTGCGTTATGGGATACTAGGGGAATGGATAGAATGCATGTACTGATACATATATAAGTTTATTTTATATAGTAGTATAATGCAAAAGCTAATTTATTGGGTAGAATGTGGTTGTCAGAGCTCAATATTAACTTTCCTATAAGTACATGTCACAAAGTTAATTGTGTAAACAGTTCATTCAAATTAGAGGAATTCAGTTCCAGATATTATGAAGTGTTTTCGGACGGCCTGGGACGATTCAATGGAGGGAAAGTGGGGTTTCACTTGCGTCCTGAGGCGCGACCGGTGTTCCTCCGCGCCCGGCCCCTGGCGTACGCACTGCGGGAGCCGGTGGAGCACGCGCTCGACCTGATGGTGCGGGATGGAATCATCACGCCGGTAACCACTTCAGAATGGGCGACACCAATTGTACCGGTAATGAAAAAAGACGGCAGTACTCGCGTTTGAGCAGATTTCAAAATAACTTTAAACAAATGTATAGAAGTTGACCATTATCCTCTACCTAAGGTGGAAGACTTGCTAGCAAAGTTACATGGCGGTGAAAAATTCACAAAAATCGATTTATCACAGGCGTACGCTCAATTTGAGCTAGATGACTCAAAGAGGTTCACTGTAATAAACACACATAAAGGTCTTTTTATGTTTAATAGGCTTATTTATGGCTTAGCCTCGAGCCCAGGGATATTTCAAAGGAAACTTGAACAAATTTTTGCCGATATGCCACAGGTAGGAGTTTTTATAGATGACCTGATTTGCACTGGAAATAATAATAATTCGCATCTTGAAACCTTGCATGAAGTTTTTAGTAGACTGCAAAAGTATGGTCTTAAAATAAATAAAGAAAAGTGTAAATTTTTTGCCGATTCTGTCACTTATTTAGGATTTGTGATCACTAAACAAGGAGTGCACACAAGTCCCGAAAAAGTAGCCGCAGTTGAAAAAGTAGCCATACCGAAAAATATAACAGAATTACGTTCATTTTTAGGGTTAGTTATGTACTATGCCAAATTTATACCTAACATTAGCACGTTATTGGCTCCGTTGTATGCTTTATTAAAAAAAAAATAATACAAAGTATGACTGGAATGAGAAATGTACACAGGCATTTGAACAAGTTAAGAAAATGTTAGGGTCTAGTCAGGTCTTGGCGCATTACTCTCCGGATTTACCAATTATCCTTACAACTGATGCGTCCGCGGTAGGGATAGGGGCGGTTATTTCTCACATAATGCCTGAAGGGGGGGAAAGGCCAATAGCATACGCTTCACGTGTCTTGAATTCTGCTGAAAAAAGCCACTCGCAGATTGAAAGGG